TTTTTTCCTTATGAAAGAAGAGAGTCTACTCTTTCTTTTGGTGTGTTCGTTGTTTACATAGTCATAGCACAAACTATTCTGTGGCTCTTGAAAAATCAGTCAAAATGCTCAAAAAACTCTGGCATTATGGGACTCTGTTCTGAAAATGGCTGGCAGTCAATGAGTTAAGGAGTACTGTCTTTATTTTTGTTTCTGTCGAGCCAATTTCCAAGGTAAGAATTGTATGCGTTTATTTCAAAACTGCAGGATTTGAGTAAGGACTGCCTTTTGTTCAACTCAAATAATTTAGCCATACAATGAAGAACTACCTTGAACATTAGATAAACACAGTTTTAAGTAAGTTCCTTATTAGTCCCGAAACAATCTGAGAAACTTCCTATCTTCTGGTGGGCCTGTTTGCTGTATCTGTATTCATTTAACTGTGTTTTCCTGCCCATCATCGCCACACATTTTATAACCTCTCAATGTTAACAAGTTAACAGTTTGTAAAGAGAGCCACAATGATCATTTATGAGGATACACAGCTCAACACACTGAATTACAACTGCTTTAACCTGGCAAACACAAACAGATGTAGTTTCAGTCATCTTATTATTAGCTGCTTACTTCTATTTAGTGCTATGTTACACCAAGGCATCATAAAACACCATTGCCATATGCAAAAGTATGCCAAATTATTTATGCATTATTCAATTTAAAGACTTGAAATTGCATCAGTGCATGAAATAAATCCCTCTTTTAATGATTATATCAACCACAGCAATAATATCAGTTTATCATTTATCAAATGGTGCGTGGCTTTGAAGAATGAATAAGGTCAATTAATAGGTGGATGGAAAATGACAAAACCCAACATGGTCATGAAAGCTGATTTATGTCACTGGCTCGTAAAAATAAGCCCTGGTGGCTTCATATTAAGAGAAAGTCAAACTAGGATAGTTAAATTATTTTGAAATAAAGTACATTTCACTAAACCTGGGCAGTAGAGACTTAGTTAGAGGATGCTAACAGCTACGGGCTCTAGCTAGCATAACAAACGGCTAAACGGGCGAACGGCTAGCTTGGTTGCTAGTTTTTTAAGGCACGCGCGTTGCTATGGTAACCGTTGGTACGTACACTCATGTAGTGTCCTCTTTGCGGCCTGTGGTGCAGAAAGGGGTCCGCCGCCGGCCCGGGGCTGGGGTGTCCCGGAGGAGGAACCGGACAGGCCCCCGGGAGTCTGAAGTGTGGCGGCGGGGGTCCGAACGAGGGCGCCGGGCCCCTGGGGGGAAGGTCCGGGTGGTACATGGCTCAGGGAGGGGGTCTACATCCGCGTCCTCTGCCCCACGGAGACGGAACGACGGCCTTATGTCGGTAACCGGGGCTTTGTTTGGCGCCATGCGACTCTGTCCCGAGTCCAGGACCTGAGCTCCCGTCACCGGAAACGAGGCGCCACACATCCGGAGTGGGCATTTCAAAGTAAAAGCCGCGCGACACGTCAACACCCCCAAAAAGAGCAGAAAGGTTTAGCTCTGAACGCCGAGAGGGTGATAACAAGATTAAGATTTGGACATACAGGACTTAATTGTACACTTTATAAAATTCAAAAGCATAATACCGGCAAATGTAATTATTGTGGAAAATATGAAACAGTAGAACATGTTATATTAGAATGTAATAAATATGAAAGAGAGAGAAGATATATTAGGAAAGAGTTTAAACGTATTAAGGAAAAGATTCATTTAGTAGATATTTTGAGGAAGCATTTGGGGAGTAAACATATAAAAATAGTTATTCAATATTTAAAGAAAACTAAATTATATCATAGAATTTGATTTATAGGAGTGAATTGTATAAATGAGTAAAATATTAAGGTACATATAGATAGATAGATAGATATATATATATAGAGAGAGATACATATTTATATATATATAGATAGATAAATAGACCATTAAGAACCACACTCCATACCAGTAAGTGGCGGTAATGCTACTTAAAGTTTGTTGCCAACCGCCATAAAACTCCACAAGAAGAAGAAGAAGCTCTGAACGCCTTCAGCAGTGCTTTGACATCTAAAACGATGCAGTTGTCATTGCATGTTACACAATTTGATTGTCGAGTGTCTGGCAAATTTGTGTCATCAACAGTTTGGACCCATGTCAAACTTAATGTATGTAAACTTGTACCATGTGGAAACTTCACAGAGGGGGGGGGGGGGTCAGGTCTTTGGAAAGAAAACAGTGACAACAATCTCTCTGTAACTTTTATTGCTCATTCACACATCCATGCAAACCTTCCGCAACATCCGCATCGTTGTGCATCGCACTGTCCATAAGCAGTGTGGGATGGCATCTTTTAAATAAGACAAAATGGACGCATCATCCAAACGCACGGAAAAAAAACCCAAAACGAAAACAGGAAAAGTAAGATCTTTTTCCAAGTAATTACTCCAATTTCGATAACGGCTATCGTTTGAAAATCCTACGCGTAATACTGGTGTGCACGGTACACAGTAGGTGCACGAACGATGAAATCCAATAAGGCGGGTGGAATAATTCGGGTGCGGTCGAAGAGGCGGGAGCCGTTCGTTTGAATTTCCCGCTCGCAGTGGAGCTTTTGGCCTGCGCGCTACCTCA